TCAAACCCGCGGGCTCAGACAATCCACTCACCTCAGCCTCCCAAAGGCGCAGGATTACAGCTGAGCCACTGAACCCAGCTTATTTTCTATTTCATATACTTTTGTATAGTTAAAATTTTGTTTTACTAGTAATGAGTATTTAAAAAATAACTAGCTCTTCTTATTGAAAAATATCAGAAATAAAAGAGGATATCACTGAAGTTATAGATGTTTAACAGAAAAGAACATAGTATAAAAATTTAAATGACTTTACCACAATTAAAAAATTAGATAAAATAGACAAATGTATAAACAAATATAACATACAAAAACAGACTCAAGAAGATATAGAAAACCTGCATAGCCCTATAACCATTATAAAATTAATCAATAGTCAAAAAATTTCCCTTAAAGAAATTATAGGATCATAAACTTCACTTATAGGTGATACCAGACAATCAAAGATGAAAGAATTCTAACATTTCACAAATTCTTCCAGAAAAAACAAATGAAGGGAACCTACTTTAACCAGCATAAACTTGATATCAAAATCCAACAAGAGTAATAGGAGAAAGAAAAATTGGATGCCAATCTTCCTCTTGAACACAGATATAAAATGCCTAATATAAAATTGTTTACTGGAACACAGCAATATATAAAAAAGAGAATACTACATGACTAAGTTGGGTTTATTCCATGAATGCAAAGTTGGTTTAATATTAGAAAAATCAACCAATTGGTACATTGACAGATTAAAAGGAGAACAATCATATGAACATCTCAATAGATCTGGAAAAAGCATTTGATAAAACTCACACCCATTCATGGTATTTATCAAAAAGCTTTCAGCAAATTAGGAATAGAAGGGGACATCCTTAATCTGATAAAGTGTATCTATAAGAAATCTAAAACAAATAATATAGCAAATGGTGAAACTCTGAATGCTTTCCTTTCAAGATCAGGAATAAGAGAAAGATACTCTTTATTATTAGTCTATTTGGCATTGTTCTGGATATGCTGTACAGCATTACACAGCATGAAAAAGAAATTAAAGAAAGAGGTTTAGAAAGGAAGAAATAAAATAATTATATACCAGTGATGTGATTGTACATATAGAGAACTCAAGAATCTATAGTAAAATTATTATTATTAATAAGTGAATTTTAGAAGATGATTGGGTATAAAATCAATATACAAAAGTCAATTACATTTCTATATACTTGCAACAAAAAGAAAATGAAATTTTCAAAAGACATAGCATCAAAATATAGCATCAAAATATAGAAATCCTAGAAGTCCAACAAGAGATGGATAAAGTTTCTACATAGAAAACCAAAAGAAATTATTGAGAGAAATTAAAGAAGAAATTAAGTGGATTTGCTCATGGATTAGAAATCTCAGTATTGGGCCAGGCTTAGTGGCTCAGCCTGTAGTCCCAGCACTTTGGGAGGCTGAGGCAAGTGGATTGCCTGAGCTCGTGGGTTTGAGGCCAGCCTGGGCAACTTGGCAAGACCTCGTCTCTACAATAAATAAAAAAAATTAGCCTGTAGTTCTGGCTACTTGGAAGGCTGAGGCGGAAGGATTGCTGGAGCCCAGCAGGTGAATGCTGGGGTGGCCGTGAGTGTGCCACTGCATTCCAGCCTGGATGACAGAGTGAGACTCGAACTCAATACAACAACAACAACAACAAAACAAAAAGAAATCTCAGTATTGTAAAGATCTGAGTTCTCCAACCATACTGTCCATGGAAACTGGACTGGATAAAAAAAAAATTGGTATATATACACAAAGGAATATTACGCAGTCATAAAGGACAAACATATGGACTTCGCAGCAACTTGGATGGATTTAGAGTCTATAATACTCAGTGATCTATCATAGAAACAAAGAACTGAGTACCACATGTTTGCACTCATAAGTGGACCCTGAACATTTACCATAATACTATAAGAGAGGAGTTGGCGGGCAACCCCCTTGAGTCCCCTCCCATTGGAGCTTTTCTGTCCTCCTAATAAATCCTGCTTAAAAAAAAGAAAGGGATTGGCAGTCGTAGGATATTGCCCGGGGTGGGGGATGGGGGCACATAACATCAATAAGAGTACCCATCTCAAGCCAGGCAAACTGGGGACCAAAGGGGGTGCCAATCTTTGCCTGTACTTGTATGCTTAATGCTGAACTGTACCCCACATCTTTAAAATAAAGTATATATTTTAAAAAAAGATCTGAGTTCTCCCTATGATAGATAGGCTCAAGATGACTCCAACAATGCTCACTTCTGGGCATTCATGCACTCATGAAGTCCTTTCTCACACTGTACCAGGGTTGATTTGTGTGAGCACTAGTCTATGGGAGAAGAGATGGCATGAAACTTCAGAGATTAAGTGGCAAGATATTGTGACTTCTACCTTGTGCATTCTTTCTCTTAGATCTCTCACTCCAGGGAAAGTGAGCTGCCATGTTGAAAGCAACTCTAGAGAGAAGCCTACATAGTAAAGAATGAAAGCTTCCAGTCAACAGTCAGGACAGAGCTAAGGTCCTCCCAGAGACTGCATGAGTGAATTTGGAAGCAGATTATCTAGTTCCAGTCATGCCTCAAGATGAGAGTCCTGGCTAACAGCCTGCCCCCAACATCATGGGCAACTCTGAGACAAAACCATACAACCGAGGTGCTGCTCTTGGATCCTGATCTTCAGAAGCAGATAGTAAATGTTTGTTGTTTTGAGTTGCTAAGTTTTGAGTAATACTTAGAATATATAGTAGCCTGGATCAACAGGCTACTATATATTCTTCTTTTTTAATACATATTTTTCATTTTCTTTCTTTATTTTTTGAGTCGGAGTCTTACTCTGTTGCTCAGGCAGGAATGTAGTGGCATGCTCACGGCCACCACAGCCTCGACCTGCTGGGTTCAGGTGATCCTTCCGCCTCAACCTTCTGAGTAGCTGGAACCACAGATGCGCACCACCATGCCCAGCTAATTTAAAAAAAATTTTTATTTTATTTTATTGTAGAGACAAGGTCTCACCAAGTTGCCCAGTCTGGTCTCAAACCCCTGGACTCAGGCAATCCTCTCACCTCCCAAAGTTCTGGGATTACAGGTGTGAGCCAGCATGCCCAGCACTGTATAGTCTTAAAATAAACTATAGATTCAATGTCATCCCAGTCAAAATCCCAACATATTTTCTTCCTTCCTTCCTCCCTCCCTCTCTCCCTCCCTCTCTTTCTTTCTTTAAGAACTTGACAAGCTGATTTCAAAATTTATATGAAAATGCAAAGGGCCAAGAATAGCCAATAAGTAAAAAGTAACTCCTAAAATCCCAAAATATGAGTGGGCAAGGTCAAACTATTAACAGCTATGAGATAGGTGTGGTTTCAGCCACTGTATGGAAAAAAGTAGAAGGAAGGCAAAGGAGCGTCAGCCCTGAGAGCCAGAGAACCCAGAAATCACTTCTGAATTGAGGGATCCCACTCAACCTGGAAAACCTGACAGGACAATTTGACAATAGTAGCCTAAGCTGGAAGGGTGATTTCAGGCTCCATTTATTGTTAATTGCAAACGGTTGCCATAAGATTGGATGAGGTGGGACAGTGTAGGTCATTTGAATATTTAAAGCCAAGTGACAGAAACTTCTCTCTGAGACAAAGCTCTGACCCTAGAGAAATCTGTGAAAGTAGAATCTATTTAATCCTAACAGACCCTAAGGGTAAAGGAAAGATAAAGCTTAGATGAAAGTATGGATAAGAATACAAATCTTAAAAGTATCAGGCTGAGCCGGGCTCGGTGGATCAGCCTGTAATCCCGCGCCTTTGGGAGGCTGAGGTGAGTGGATTGCCTGAGCCCATGGGTTCGAGACCCGCCTGGGCAGCGAGACCTCATCTCTACAATAAATCAAAAAATCAGCCGAGTGTGGTAGCCTGTAATTCCGGCTACTTGGAAGGCTGAGGTGGAAGGATCGCCGGAGCCCAGCAGGTCGAGGCTGTGGTGGCCGGGAGCGGCCACTGCACTTCAGTCTGGGCGACAGAGTGAGACTCCAACTCAAAAAAAAAAAAAAACAACCAAAAAAACAAAAAAGAAAACAAGATAAAAAAATTGACCTTCCATACAACTCCACAATCCCTCTATTGGGAATATACCCGGAAGAACTCAAATCACTCTATGAAAAAGATATCTGCACACCTATGTTTATCACAGCATTGTTCATAATAGCAAGAACATGGAACCAATTGTGCTGCCCATCAAAAGAGGACTGGATAAAAAAATGTGGTACATATACACAATGAAATATTACACAGCCATAAAGAAGGACAAAATCATGAATTTCATCGCAACCTGGATGGACTTAGAATCTATAATACTGAATGATGTATCACAGAACAAAGAACTGAGTATCACATTCTCACTCTTAAGAGGACCTTGAACAGTTATCATAATGTAAGAAAAGGATTGACAGTAGTAGGAAACTGCCGGGGGTTGGGGGTTGGGATTGGCAGTAGTAGGAATCTGCCAGGGGTGGGGGTGGGGCTCACTTCATCAACAAGGGTATCTGCATAATAAACATTCATATACCTAACTCTGAATTGTATCCCACATCTTTAAAATAAAAAATTAAATTAAAAATCACAATAATAATAAAAATTATTACAAATAAAAAAGAAATGAAAAAGGGACATCACAAAAGGTAATAATATATTAACCTTATACAAATTTTATCTATCTATCTATCTATCCATCTATCTAGCTAGCTAGCTAGTTTTGCTCTGTTGCCCATAATCACAGCTCACATAGACTTGAACTCCTGGCCTCAAGTGATCCTCCTACCTCTGCCTCCCAAGTAGCTGGGACTACAGGCATGTGCTACCATGCCAAGCTAAGTTTTTGATTTGTTGTAGAGAAGAGGTCTCACTATTTTGCCCAGGCTGGTCTTGAACTCTTGGGCTCAATCTTCCAGGCTCAGCCTCTCAAAGTGCTGGGATTACAGGCATGAGCACCATGCCTGATCAACACTAATACTTAGAATATTGCAGTCCTTAAATTTGGCCCAAATAAACTCTCTACTTACATGAAAAAAATCAAATCAAAGAATGAAATGAACATGCTCTTATTATAGACTCAAGAAGAAACATAAAATCTAAGTAATTTAATAATCTATAAAAGGAATTAAATAGTAGTAGACAAAAGTAGTAAGCAGTCTCCCCCTTTCCCCTTGCACTCCTTGGCCACACAAACCCACTAAGCCTATGGTGGCTTCATCTGTGAGTTCAAGAAAGACATACTATCTTTCTCTTTTTCTTTCTTTTTTGAGTTGGAGTCTCACTGTCACCCAGGCTGGAGTGCAATGGCACGTTTCTGGCTACCACAGCTTTGACCTGCTGGGCTTAGACCACCCTTCTGCCTCAGCTTTCCAAGTAGGTGGAACTACAGGCACAGACCACCATGCCCAGCTAATTTTTTTTGATATATTGTATTGTAGAAATGAGATTTTGCCAAGTTGTCCAGGCTGGTCTTGAACCCTTGGCTCAGGCAATCCTCTTGCCTCAGCCTCCCAAAGTGCTGAGATTATAGGTGTGGCAGTAATTTCAATCTTCTATAATTCCCACTTTTTTGTAGAGACAGGGTCTTACTCTGTCATCCAGGCTGGAGTGCAGTGGCACAATCATAGTTCACTGCAGCCTTGAACTCCTAGGCTCAAGTGATCCTCCCACCCCTGTCTCCCAAGTAGCTGGGGCTAGAGGCATGCTCCGTGACACCCAGCTTATTTTTTAAATTTTTAATTTTTGTAGAGAGAGGGTCTTGCTATGTTACCTAGGTTCATTTCCAAGTTCTGGCCTCAAGTGATCCTCCCACTTTGGCCTCCCAAAACACTCAGATTACAGGTGTGAGCCACCACATCTGGCCTTTAAACTCATTCAGAGAATCCAGAAAGTGAGAAAATGTCTAACTCCTTTTCTATGGCTTACCAAACGTTGATATTCAAGCTGGACTAAGCACAAGAAAATCACATTGTGGCCCAATTTCACTCATGGACACAAATCTCCTACACAAAATATTACCCAACTGAAATCAATCTGTTTGTAATAAGGGAAGTTAAGACCACAAGGAGTTATCAATTTTTCCAGTTTATCAGATTAATAAACCTTAAAAAATCTGACAATATCAAGGATTGGTGAAGACATGTAACGTCAGGAACTCTCATCACTGATGGGCAATTATCTACTAAAGTTAAAGGTATGCACATTCTGTGTATGACCAGTGGTTCTACATATAGGCTTATGGTGTAGAAAATATATACTCCTGTACATTAGGAGGAAACACATATGATAACATCCATGGCAGCATTTTTCAGGACAGCCAGACATTGAAACCAACACAAATGTCTGACCACAGTAGAATGGGTATCTAAATTATGGTACAGTCGCACAATGAGATATTCTACAGCAGCAAAGGTGAACGAACCTCAGTTGCACACAACAACATGGATGGCAGTCACAATCACAATATTGAGCCAATGAAAGAAGACATTAAAGAATATATGTAGTGTGATTCCTTTTACGTAAGCTAAAAAACAGGCAAATCTAAACTATATTGCTCAAAAGTAAAATAATGATTATCACAGAATAAGGACAGTGGTAATTTTTGGGAGGGAGAGAGGGAGCGTGTTGTGATGGGGAGGGGCACATGGCTGAAGGAGTCTCCTAGGAGTGGTGGCAATTTTATAATCCTTGGCCTGGGCATTGGGTACACAGATATTTATTTCATAATTATTTGTTTAAAACATACATGTTTTAATACATTATAGGTGTATATATATGTATGTATATGTGTTTTAAATATCTTCTGTATAGATTTCATAGTTCATATGAAAATTATTAATATAAAAATAAAATAAAGGGCAAGGAGACCCTTTCTGAAGAACAACATGGATTCTAGATTCTGAAGGTGAAGGAAGTCTACTAGGGCTGGAGTAAGGGAAGCAAGCGAGGGGGGCTGGAGTTGGAGAAACAGATGGGATTTTGATGGAATCTGGACATTGAGAGACTAGAGTGCTAAACTGAGAAAAGAATCAAAGGAAAGTTCATTTTCCTACCAGTTCATAATTCCAGGTCATTTCCCCCCACAACTGCTGTCAAGGTTTCTTCTGCAACCTTCCTGAAGTAGTCTATGCATAAACGAGCATACATATAAGTGTGTATGCGTGTGTGGCAAATTGATACGCTATTATGTACCTTGCTTTCCTTTTCACTATACATATTCTGTGCTGTTTTTAAAATGAGCAATAAACAAGAAAAATACTGTTAGCTTGAATGAGGCAAACAAATAATAGAGGAAGTCCATTTAACCGGTTTAAACCAAAGCTATGTACCCCTAGTTGCTGTGAAGACTTCAGCAACAAAGAAAGGAATGTGAAGGTGATCATCCCCTGCCTTCCAGACCACCACCAGGGCTGGCCCACCCTCAGAGAACAGAGAAGGTGGACCCATGGCCTTATGGGCAGAAGTCTCTTTCACAGCTCTCAGGGAGCCCCCAGTAGCCAGGGCCATACCTCGGAGTTGGCGGGCACCACAAACTGGGAGGGCAAGGTGATGTCAGGTAACCTGCATTCCGTGGAGAAGGTCACTGGGTATGGCAAGGGGTTCTCCACCTTGATGGAGGCTGACGCACTCTGCCGGACTGGGCTCACCATCTCGATGGTCTTGATGATGCCAGAAGGGATGACCCTGAAACTCACCGTGTAGTATAAGAACTCATTGGTCACCTCATTTCGGAAGATCACCTGCATTTACAGGAAGAGAGGGAGGTAGAAGGGCAGAGTAGGGGTCAGCCTAAGGTCCTCTGTACATTTTCAGAGCCTCCGTTTCTTTGTGAGCATTGCCTCCATACATGAAGCAGGGTTACCAGGTCAACACGGCCCTCCCAGCCTATCTGGATCCCCACTAGTCCACCTTTCTCCTTAAGTATTATGGTTTGGCTCCTACCGGGTGAGAGATTATTAAATAGCCTGGGCTTGCTTTGGAAGGCTATAGAAGGACTGTTCAATGCCAGTGGGGATTGCTGGCCAGCCCTGGAGACGACTGAGACCTCTCTCTAGAGGTTCAAGTTGGAGTGGGCTTTCCTCCTATTCCTGTTGCTACTGGAATAGTGTAATAACAAAAGGAACAATGATAGTGTCTAACACTTAATAACTGATTACTGTATGTCAGGCACTAGAAATTCATAAAATTTGTAGGCAACTTTATTATGCTGCTTCACCTTTTCTTAAAAAAAAAAAAAAAAGATGAGGGAATAAGGCTTAGCAATGGCAAGTATCTTTCCCAAGGTCTCATGCAAAGAAATGTCAGAACCAGGATTTGAGCCCAGGCTGGACTAACTCCAGAACTCACACGCTTGTAACCACACGCTATACTGTCTCCTCAACCCTGCAACTGACTCGTTGATATGCTGGTCACTTTTTAAAGTTCTTTCCCTGGTTACTGACAACGTGGTACGCTTTCTCATGTGCTTATTGGTCATTCACATAGCTATTCTTGTGACACAGAATCTATTAATTCTTTTGCCCTTTTTAATACACTAGGCTGTTTATCTTATTATTAGGTGGTGATAGTTCTTTATATAGTCTGGTTTTTTTCTTTCAACCTCTTTGTGTCTTTAAAGTGCTTCTGACACTCCCTGTCTTTTAATTGGAGTGTTTAGTCTTTTACATTTATAGTAATTATTTATACTTAGGTTTAGGTTGAAGTCTGCTTTCTTGCTAGTTATTTTCCATTTGTCCTTTTTAGCTTTCATTTTTCTGTGTCTACTTTCCTACCTTCTTTTAGATTAATATGTAATCTTTTGGAATATAGCTTATGTCCTCTCATAGTTTCTTAGCTACATTTTAAAATAATTTTTAGTGGTTGCTCTAGTGCTAACAATGAATCCTTAGCTTATCAACGATTTTTTTTTTTTTGAGTTGGAGTCTCACTCAGTCGCCCAGACTGGAGTGCAGTGGCCGCTCCCGGCCACCGCAGCCTCGCCTGCTGGGCTATGGCGATCCTTCTGCCTCAGCCTTCCGAGTAACTGGATTTACAGGCGCGCACTACCACGCCCGGCCGATTTTTTGATTTATTGTAGAGATGAGGTCTCGCTGCCCAGGCGGGTCTCGAACCTGTGGGCTCAGGCAATTCACTCACCTCAGCCTCCCAAAGGCGCGGGATTACAGGCTGAGCCACCGAGCCCGGCTCAACGATTTTTAAATGTCACTATTTTATCACTTCCCACTTTACAGTGGAGGCTTCATGCTTCCTGTCTCATACTTCCCACCTCACAAATATAAGAATAATCTTAATTATGATTTCATTTGCCTCTCCATTCCATCTTTTGTTGTTTTACACACACACACACACACACACACACACACACACACACACACACACACACACTATTGTTTTTTTTTGAGATAGGGTCTCACTTTGTTGCCTGGGCTGAAGTGCATGGCATGATCCTAGCTTACTGCAGCCTCGACCTCTTCCTCTTCTAGGGCCTCCCTATTCCCTGAGATACAACAATATTGAAATCAGGTCAATTGATAATCTCTAAGTGTTCAAGTAAAAGGAAAAAAATCATACACCTCTCACTTTCAATAAAAAGCCATAAGTGATTAAGCTTATTGAGGAAGGCACATCTGCCTCAGTTTCCCAAGTAGCTAGGACTACAGATGCGTGCAATTGTGCCTGGCTCTCTCTCTCTTTTTTTTTTTTTTTTTTGTAGAGATGAGGTCTCACTATTTGCCCAAGCTAGTCTTGAACTTCTAGGCTCAAGCAATTCCTCATCTTGGGTTCCCAAAGTGCTAGAATTACAGGTATGAGTCACCACACCAAACCTATTGTTATATCTTTTTTTTTTTTTTTGAGTTGGAGTCTCACTCCGTCGCCCAGGCTGGAGGGCAGTGGCACGCTCCCGGCACCGCAGCCTCGACCTGCTGGGCTCCGATAATCCTTCTGCCTCATCCTTCCGAGTAGCTGGAACTGCAGGCGCGCGCTACCACATCCAGCTAATTTTTTGATTTATTGTAGAGATGAGGTCTCGCCAAGTTGCCCAGGCGGGTCTCGAACCCGCAGACTCAGGCAATCCACTCACCTCAGCCTCCCAAAGGTGCAGGATTACAGGCTGAGCCACCGAGCCCGGCTATATCTTTTACTTCTAAATACATAAGAACATCCATGTTCGAATGTTATTATATTTGTTATAAACTGTCAGTTGTCTTTTAAGAATTCCAAGAACAAATCAAAATATACATATTTACCTACTTATTTATCATTTCTAGTGCCCTTTTTTCCTTCTTGCAGGCCCAATTTTCCATCTGGTGTCATTCCCCTCAGACTGAAGAATATCTATTAGCATGTTGTGTGGTAATGGAAATCTGCTGACAATGAATTCTCCCATGCTTGTTTATCTGAAAATGTCTATTTCACTCTCAATTTTAAAGGATATTTTCAATGGATAAGGAATTCTACAAGGGGTGACCCCCCCCAAAAATTGGAATTATCTTTTGGAGGGCAGAACCCTTGCAACACACTCAGGATTTGTTCCTTTGTATCAAACGGTCAACCAAAGTCTTTATCTGGAAGTTTTGAGAAGGTTGCATCATGATTTGCAAAAGAAACACCCCAAGTTGTGGCAAACAGGTGACTTTCTTCAGTTATAACAACACATCTGCTCACACCGTGCTGAGTGTAGAGCAGTTTTTGACCAAAACCGGCACGACTCCCATGCCCCACCTTCCCTATTCACCTGATCTCATCCCAGGTGACTTTTTTGTTTGTTTCCCTGGATGAAAAAAGTCCTCAGAGGGAAACATTTTGCCATTGCGGAAGACATGAAACAAAAAAGCGACAGAAGTAATAAAAAGGCATTCAAAAACTGAGCAGTAGAGAAAGCATCTTGATAGGTGTATTGCATGAAATGGAGAGTACTTTGAAGTAATGAAGCTTACAACATGTAAGTGTAAATACACAATTTTTAACAAATAAATTTCATTTTGGGGGGATTACCCCTTTGTAGGTTGATAGCTTTCTTTTTTTTTTTTTAATTTGAGTTGGAGTCGCACTCTGTCACCCAGACTGGAGTGCAGTGGCTGCTCCCGGCCACTGCAGCCTCGACCTGCTGGGCTCCGGCGATCCTTCCGCCTCAGCCTTCTGAGTAGCTAGAACTACAGGTGCGCGCTACCACGCCTGGCTAATTTTTGATTTTTAGTAGAGATGAGGTCTCACCAAGTTGCCCAGGTGGGTCTCGAACCCGCGGGATCAGGGTTGATGGTTTTCTTTTACTACTTTACAGATAGCTTCCATTATGTCCAAAGAGAAGCTAGTGGTCATTCTTACTGTTGTCCCTCTGTATATAATGTGGCTTTTTTCCTCTGACTGCTTTAAGTTTTTTCTTTATCTTTGTTTTTCAACAGCTTGAAAATGATACCATGAGGTGCATGGACATTCTTTGTATTTATCCTAGTTTCTTGGATCAGTAAGTAGTTTTTTAAAAAATCAAATCAGGAAAATTTCAATAATTATTTTTTCAAATACAGGTATACCTCAATTTATTGTGCTTCACTTTATTGTGTGTTACAGTTATTGTGTTTTTTTGTTTTTTGAGTTGGAGTCTCACTCTCTCGCCCAGACTGGAGTGCAGTGGCTGCTCCCGGCCACCGCAGCCTCACCTGCTGGGCTCCGGCGATCCTTCCGCCTCAGCCTTCCAAGTAGCCGGAATTACAGGCATGTGCTACCATGCCCGGCTGATTTTTTGATTTATTGTAGAGATGAGGTCTCGCTGCCCAGGCGGGTCTCGAACCCGCGGGCTCAGGCAATCCACTCACCTCACCCTCCCAAAGGCGTGGGATTACAGGCTGAGCCACCGAGCCCGGTGGTATAGTGTTTTTTACAAATTGAAGGCTTGTGGCAATCCTGAACAAATGCAAGTCTATTAACATCTCTTTCCAACAGCATGTGTTCTGTGTCTCTGTGTCACATTTTAGTAATTCTTGTGATATTTCAAAATGTTTAATTATTTTTACATCTGTTATGGTGATCTGTGGTCACTGATCTTGAATGTTACTATTGCAGTTGTTTTGGGGTACCATGCACCATTCCCAAATAAGATGGCGAACTTCAGTAAATGTTGTATGTGTTCTTATTGCTCCACCAACTGGCCATTCCCTGATCTCTCTTCCTCTTCTAGGCCCTCCCTATTCCCCGAGATACAGCAATATTGAAATCAGGACAATTGGTAATCTCTAAGTGATCAAGTAAAAGAAAAAAATCATACACCTCTCACTTTCAATAAAAAAACCAGAAATGATTAAGCTTATTGAGAAAGGCACATCAAAAAAATGAGATAGGCAGAAAGCTAGTTCTCTTGCATCAAACAGTTAATCAAGTTGTGAATGCAAAAGAAAAGTTCCTGAAGGAAATTAAAAGTGCTGATGTGAAGAAAGTTTTAGTGATCTGGATAGAAGATCAAAGCAGCCACAACATTCCCTAAGCCAAAGCCTAATCCTGAACAAGGACCTAAGTCTCTTCAATTCTATGAAGGCTGAAGAAAAGAGGAAGCTGTAGAAGTATGAAGCTAGCAAAGGCTGGTTCATGAAGTGAAATGAAAGAAGCTGTCTCTTTAACATAAAAGTAAAGTAGCAAGTTCTATGTGAAAGTGGTAGCAAGTTATGCAGATATGATAATTAATAAAAGTGGATACACAAAAAAACAGATGTTTAGCTCAATGTAGATAAAACCTTCTATCGGAAGGAGAGGCCATCTAGGACTTTCACAGCTAGAGAGGAGACCTCAATGCTTGGCTTCAAAGCTTCAAAGGACAGGCTTACTCTTCTATTAAGGGCTAATGCAACCAGTGACTTTCAGATGAAGCCAATGCTCATTGACCATTTCAAAAATCCTAGGACCTTCAAGAATTATGTTAAATCTAGTCTGCCTGTACTTTATAATTGGAACAACAAAGCCTAGATGGCAGCACATCTGCTTACAGCATGGTTTTACTGAATGTTTTAAGCCCAGTGTTTAGACCTACTACTCAGAAAAAAAGATTCCTTTTGAAATATTACTTCTCATTGACAATGTACCTGATCGTCCAAGAGCTCTGATGGAAATGTACAGGAGATGAATGTTGTTTTCATGCCTGCTAACACAGCATCCATTCTGCAACCCATGGATCAAGGAGTCACTTCAACTTTCAAGTCTTAGTATTTAAGAAATACATTTCATAATGCTATAGCTGCCATAGATAGTGATTCCTCTGTTGAATCTGGGCCAAGCAAATTGAAGACCTTATGGAAAGGAGTCACCATTCTAGATGCTATTAAGAACATTTGTGTTCCATGGGAGGGGGTCAAAATATCAACATTAGTAGAAGTTTGGAAGAAGTTGATTTCAATCCTCATAGAGAACTTTGAGGGGTTCAAGACTTAAGTAGAGGCAGTAACTAAATGTGGTAGAAATAGTAAGATAACTAGAATTAGAAGTGGGGCTTGAGGATGTGACTGAATTGCTGCAATTTCATAATCAAACAAACAAATGAGGAGTCATTTCTTATGGATGAATAAAGAAAGTGGTTTCTTCAGATGGAATCTACTCATGGTGAAGAGGCGATGAACATTGCTGAAATGACAACAAAAGATTTAGAATATTGCATAAACTTAGTTGATAAAGCACTGGCAGGGTTTGAGAAGACTGACTCCAATTTTGGAAGAAGTTCTACTATGGGTAAAATGCTATCAGATAGCATCACATGCTACAGAGAAATCTTTCTTAAAAGGAAGAATTGTCAATGTGGCAAGCTTCGTTGTCTTATCTGTCTGTGAATGCTGATCTGATTAGATGTGATTAGAGCAGCCTACCTCAGTTATTATAGGGGAGGAGATCACACGCTGTAGGGTGTCTTGCCAGTATCTCTTCTGTGTGTGTGTGTTCTTAGATACTTTTTTTTCACTTTAAAATATTTCCCTTTGTGATTTCATCCCCTTTATAGCTTCAAATACTATCTATAAATGAATCATTTCCAAATATTATCTTCAACCCTGACCTCTCCTGTGAGCTAAGATGCATACATGCTCCTTATCTTCAAAGCACTTATCTCATTTTGAAATTATATGAAGGGGACCCCCCAAAACAGAATTTATTTATAAACAATTGTGTATTTATTCTTACATGTTTAAGCTTCAGTCACCTTCAAAGTACTCTCCATTTGATGCAATACACCTATTGAGATGCTATTTCCACTGCTCAAGACAGTTTTTGAACTCGCCAACTTTGATGCCCCTTAGTTCTTCTGCCTTTTTTGTTTCACTTCTTCCACATTGGCAAAATGTTTCCCTTTGAGGACATTTTTCTTTCTTTCTTTCTTTTTTTATCCTTTTATTTATTTATTTATTTCTGTGAGTTGGAGTCTCACTCTGTTGCCCAGACTGGAGTGCAGTGGCTGCTCCCGGCCACCACAGCCTCGACCTTGGGCTCTGGCGATCCTTCCGCCTCAGCCTTCCAAGTAGCTGGAATTACAGGCGTGCGCTACCACGCCCAGCTAATTTTTGATTTATTGTAGATATGCGGTCCCACCAGTTGCCCAGGCGGGTCACGAACGCTCAGGCTCAGGCAATCCACTCACCTCAGCCTCCCAAGGCGCGGGATTACAGGCTGAGCCACCGAGCCCGGCCTGAGGACTTTTTTCATCCGGGAAAACAAAACAAAACCAAAGTTGCCTGGGGTTAGACCACGTGAACTGGGAGGGTAGAGCATGGGGTCATGCCACTTTTGGTAAAATACTGCTGAACACTCAGCATCGTGTGGGCAGATGTACTTGCAAATCACCCATCATGAAATAGGCAAACACACTGAAATAATCTAAAAAAAAAAATTAACTGAAAACAAACACAGTATCTCAAAATACTAGCTAGTACACTGATGCTGATGGGTTCCTAGAATATTTACCTATTAGGAAAATACTGTACTACAAGGGACCTGCCTACCAAAAAAAAAATTCTGTTTTTTTGGGGTCCCCTTGTGCATGCACAGTACAATGATTTTCCACCAGACTGTGTGCTCCATGAAAACAGAAAGGGGTCCCCTCGTGCATGCACAGTGCAATGACTTTCCACCAGACTGTGTGTTCCATGAAAACAGAAACTATGCCTATTTTTGGTCATTGTTGTGTTACCAACACAATATTTTACATGGCATTGACGCTCAGTAAATACAGTACTTGTTGAGCCAATGAATGAATTACGGAAAGAGCTCAAGTGTGAAAGACCCTGTGGTGTCTTAGAGCAGTGACTGTGGGAAGTTATCTTTACTTCCTAATACCAGGATCAACCTTAGGGTCAAACTTCCAGAGTTCCAAGGTGGTGCCTTTGACATGTAGATACCTTTGCAATGTACATTCCCTCTTTGTGGGAAAAGAAGTTCAGCTTGTAGTCTTTCTTGGAGCCAGACAGTACATCAATGTAATCAAGGCCCTTTATGGTGACGCTTAGGTCTGGCTTCTCTGGTTTCAGTATTTCCACAATGACCCGGAATCTGTGGCAGCAAAGGAAAATAGGAAGAGAGGAGAGAGAAAATGAGATGATTTATCTAAAGGAAAGAAGGAAAAGTGCTATCTGTACCCTCGATTTCGGGGAAAGCACATGAGCCAAGGTTCCAGTCTTCACTCTCTCAGTAATAATAACAGTAACTACCATTGGTTGACCACCTATTATGTGCTGGGTACTGAGTGAGCGTCCTAAATGTCTTACAGGCATTTAATCCTTATGATATCTGTAGGAGGTACATAACACTGTCATCTTCATTTCACAAATGTGGAAATAGAGGCCAAGAGAGGGAACATAACATACTCAGATAACATGAGTAGTTACTGGCAGAAACGAAATTCAAACTTAGGTCTGGGCCTTTATCCACTGTGCTAAGCAGGTGGCCTTCAGCACAGTGCACCTGTCTCCCAGTTTTGGTTCCTTCTCTATAAAAGAAGGTGACCGGGCTGGTTGGCATTGAGCTCTTCTTGTGCTTGCATCCCACTCTGCTCTTATTGCAAGTATAAGATTCAAGGGACTTTCTTCTCTGGCCAGCGGTTCAGGTGATAAGACAGAGTACTCAGTAATAACAGTGATGATTATCACTATGATAATAACAGCATTTAACATTTATTGAACACTTATTTTGTGCCAGGTACTGTTCTAGGAGATTTACAAGTAATAGCACTGAACAGAAGAATCTCTCCAGAGGCGTAGAGTAAAGAAAGTGCCATGACATTCTTTGTCTCTGATGCCATGAGCCCTCCAATGTCCTCTAGAGTGGGGGTCTCCAGCCCCTGGGCTCTGGACCAGTACTGGCCCAGTCCATAGCTTGTTAGGAACCAGTCCATACATTCTCATCAGAGTGTGAACGCTATTGTGAATTGCACATTCAAAGAATCTAGATTGTGTGCTTCTTATGAGAATCTAGTGCCTGATGATCCCTCCCAACAACTTCCTCTCCATTTGTGGAAAAATTATCTTCCACAAAACCAGTCTCTGATGCCAAGAAGGTTGTGGGGAGCTGCCCTAGAGACCCTTAGCCAAGGAAGGACCAGGCTAGATGATGAAAGTCCTCCCTCCATCTCCCTACCTAGACCTCTTGTCCTTCTCCCTCACCTCTGGGGCTTGTTCAGCCAGTTGGTGATTGGCAGGAGCTCAGTATAAGGTGTCTTACATGGTACTTCACGGTAGATATTGGCTACAGCTTTTGGGAGCTCAGAATTCCCATGTAGAGCATACAGCCAGCCAGTCCCATCTGGGAGGGGGAAGAAGAGGGTGCCCTAAGGAGAAGAAGAATTGTGATCAGAATGACAGAGAGGGTCCTTTATAAGGTACCTATGAAGCATGGTGGAGACATAGAATTAATAGAGGCTCTGTAAATAAATATAACACTTTTGGAAAGCAGCTTGGCAATATGTTTCAAGAGTTATAAAAAAGTGTTCATGTGTATTTGAACTAGGAGTCTCACCTGAGAGAATTTACTGAAGGAAAATCCCTCCAAAGGAAATAAAGTTACATGTATACATATTAAAGCCACTTATAATGTTGATGAAAATTTGTGGATACAACAAAGAATGTTAAACTATGGAACTTCAATGACATATTAGTTATTAAAAATGGTTATCACAATGACTGTAGAGTTAAATAGAGAAGTACTATGCTATACTGTAAAGGGAAAACCAGCAGAATGCAAATTGGGTATGCTATGGTGACAGTTATGGCTATATCTGACTAAGGATTGATTGTGGAGGTAGAAAAAAGGTTCATTTTTTTTTTTGTAGAGTGGGAGATTATGGCTGCTTTTCTTGTTTTGAATTTTATCACAGCTACCGTGATGCAATTTATACGATTAAGCTAAACATTAATTGCTTCTCACTTGACCTGTACTCCATTTTAGAGCTGAGCGCTTGGCTCTAAAAGAGTATACTATGGGGGCAATAACTTTGGGAGGTTTTCTGTCCTCTCAATAATCTTGCTTTCAAAAATAAAATAAAATAAAAAGTGAACTGCACATTCAAGGGATCTATGCATGAAAACATACAGACAAAAAAGGAAGCCAAAGCTTCATAATCTGCATGATTCTTCCTTGCTCTGATATAATCTGGGTACTCCCCACCCTTATCCTAATATTCTCTGAGCTTACAAACTGTCTTGCAACCTTGTTCACACAGCTCCTCCTTCAATTATGCCAGGAAACTGGTGGGGAGGCCTCAGCTTACCTGGTGTTTGCGGTTCTCCAAGTTCATGGTGCGGGGTCTATAGGTGATCTCATAGGGCTTATTTTGCTGATGGGCCTCCAGGGTGATGAATTCGGGGCCCTCCCAGTGCTCGCCCTCAATGATGGGGTGCAGATTCCAGGTCTGATTGGTGCGGTTCGACAGCAGGATGGTCTGTGTGTGCTTGGAGCGCACCTGGCAGGTGAAATTCACCACCTGAAAGATAGCAGGCACCTCATCTTCGATGGCACTTCACCCTGAAGTGCCTTCAGGAATCAGAGGTACAGAATGCTTGCCAGGGAAGACTGACTTTAACAGCGCTTCCCATCATGAGTTTCAGTGGGTCATTTTCTTTTTCTTTCATTCAACACATACTGATTGGGAACCCTCTCTGTGCCAGGGAGTATTTTGGTGGTGAAGATACAGCAAAGGACAAGATAGCAAAATTCTCTGCTCTCAAAGAGCTTACATTCTGGTAGGGAGAGACAGATAATAAACAAACCAGTAGGTAGAATATAGAGTATGTAGGATAGAAATAAGTGCTAGGGAGAAAAACAAAGCAGAGTCAGGGTACAAGGGATGCCAGATTGGGGAGTGGGTTTGAAATTTTAAATAGGGTGATCAGGAAAAGCCTCACTGAGCATATGTGTTTGATTACAGATCAAGAAGTATCTGCCGATCCCACCCTTGTGCTCGAGGGAGAGAGGAAGCGGGGAGAGAGGTAGGTGGCAACACACTGGGTACCTGGTCCATTATCGGGGGAGAGAAATTCAGTTAGAAGCCCAAACTTCACCTGCATGCAACCTACTTATGTAGTAAATCCCCACCTGTACCCTACAACTCAAAAAGAAAATAAAAAGACGGAGAAGGATGAAGTCAGCAGAGACCTAGGGAAGAGCCTTCCAAGCAGAGGAAACTTCAACTGCAAGTTCCTGATTTTGACAAATGGCAAGCAGTCCTTGTGGCAAGTGTGAAGTGAGTGAGGAGGAGATAAAGTATCAGTGAACAGCATGTAGGGCCTTGGAGTTATGGTACAGTCTTTTCTTTTCCTTTTATTGAAATAGGAGGATTTAGAAGAATTTTGAGTAGAGGAGTGACCTTATCTGATCTACACTCCAACAGCATTGCTCCAGATGCTTGGAGGTAACAGAGGAAGAGAGAACAATTAGAAGGCACTTGCAATAGACCAGGTGGGAAAGGGCAGTGACTTGGGTGGCACTGGTAGCAATGGGGATGGTGTAAAGTGTGTATATTCCCATTGTTCCTTGAAGGGCCAATATAATTTACTCTTGTATGGAAACTTAGTTGTAAGTGGAAGAAGATTCAAGAAAATTAGCCAAATTTTTAGCCTGAGCAATCAGAAGGATGAAGATGCCATTTACTGAGGTAAGGTGAACTGTGGGAAGAGCAGATTTGGGGGAAGGATCAGGAACTCATTTTTGTTCATGCTGAATTTGAGCTGCCTACCAGTCAAGTAGAAAGTAGAATTTACAAACCTGGAGTTCAAGGAAAAAGTCTAGGCTGTAAATAAAGATTTGGGAGTTGTCAGTATAGCAAGGCCTTTTCTTTCTTTCTTTTTTCTCTCTGTCACCTATTTGTCCCAGAGCAATACATATGTTTTTTAAAGTCCAAGAAACTGGATGAGACCAACGAGAAGTGAGAGTATTCTGAAAAAAGTAGGAATCTGGGGTCTAATTCCTGATTGGCACACTTCAATGTTAAGGCTCAGGAGAGAAAATACAAAGGCACAGCCAGTGAGGTAGGAGAAAACCAAGGAGAGGGTGGTATCCTGGAGCCAAGTGAAGGAGGTGTTTGATGGGGGAAAACCTAGTTTATAGTGTCAAAATGCTCTCTACAGGTCAAGTAAGATGAAGGCTGAGAACCGGCTATTGGATTCAGCAATGTGGACAGTATGGTATGGGCATAAATATAGTCAAATAGATCAATGGACAAGAAAATAGAGTTCAGCAATAGATCCACACATATATGATCAACTGATTTCTGACAAGGTGCAAAGGCAATTCAGCAGAGAAAAGATAGTCTTTTCAACAAATGGTGCTGGGACAATTGAATATTCATATACAACATTTTTTGGCCCATATCTTGCACTATAAAAAAAGTAACTCTAAATAAACTGAAGACCTAAACATAAAGCTTGAGTTCAGAATATATAAAGAGCTCTCAAATCTTTAATAAGAGAACAAACAGCCTAATTAAAAATAGAATATCATGTGTGTCTGTAGTTCCAGCTACTTGGAAGGCTGAGGCGGAAGGATCGCCTGTGCCCAGCAGGTCAAGGCTGCGGTGGCCAGAAGCGTGCCACTGTCCTCCAGTCTGGGTGACAGAGTGAGACTCCAACTCAAAAAAAAAAAAAAAAAAAATAGAATATATGAACAGACACCTCAACAAAGAAGATCTATGGCTGGCAAATAAGTACCTGAAAAGATGCTCAATATCATTATTCATTAGGGAAATACAAATTAAGGACCTCAACGAGATACTTTTACATACATATTAGAATGGCCAAAATTTAAAAAACTGACCATATCAAGTGTTGACAAGGATGCGGACAAGTAGAAATGTCAGACGTTGCTGATGGAAATGTAAAAAGACATATTCACTTTGGAAAACAGTTTGACAGTTTCTTTAAAAGTAAACATACACCTTCCATGTAACCCAACCATTTCACAACTAGTCATTACACAAGAGAAATGAAGGCATATGTTCATGCTGAGACTTATACATACAGGTTCAGAGCATATTGTACAGTTCCATTCATATAACATTCCTTTTTGTTTTTTTTTTTTTGAGTTGGAGTCTCACTCTGTCGCCCAGACTGGAGTGCAGTGGCCGCTCCCGTCCACCACAGCCTCGAACTGCTGGGCTCCGGCAATCCTTCCGCCTCAGCCCTCCAAGTAGCCAGAATTATAGGCACGCGCTACCACGCCGGGCTGATTTTTTGATTTATTGTAGAGATGAGGTCTCGCTGCCCAGGCGGGTCTCAAACGGGTCTCAAACCCGCGGGCTCAGGCAATCCACTTACCTCAGCCTCCCAAAGGTGCAGGATTACAGGCTGAGCCACAGAGCCCGGCTCATATAACATTCTTAAAATAAAATTCTAGAGAGGGAGATTGAGTGTCATTTCCACCATAAGCATTGTTGCCAGATAACACAGTGGACAGCACTATTAGGTTTCCAGGAATGAGGCTAGCAGAGAGTTAACCCAAGGCCATTTAAAAAAAACCACAGAAAAGAGGAAAGGTGTTAACTCTTTACTTATAGAGCTTGGAATGTGATCTAGCCAGGGAAGTTAACGCAGGCTTCCTAGAGAATGTACTGCTTGAATTGAGAGTTAAAGGATGAGCAGGAGTTAATGAAATGAATAGAGAAGAAAGAATATTCCAGTAATTGGAATAGCAAATTCATAGGCCTTGTGGACAGATGGGGCAGGTCTGAATATATGAAAGAGCCCTGGTTGAGTTCACCCGTGGACTCACTCCTGCCGCTGGCCCATCACTGGGCAGTGCCTACTCACCTCTTTTATTGCAGGTGGTCCCACACAGACTCCAGACAGGGTCAGGCTCAGAGGCTTCCCTCCCTGGATGAAGCAGGGCAGATTTTTATAGAGACTCTCCTTTCCCACCTCGGTGGGACGGTAGGTCACTTCAAAAGCAACATCCATGCCTGCGGTGATATATCCTTCTTCTGGATTGATGGAGAAATGAGGCTCAATTTTTTTGACATCCCATTTAAACCTTTCCAAGACAAAAGAAGACAAGAAAGGGAGTTTACTAATATTGTGAGAGTGCCCTCAATGCTACTGAGAAAAAAAGACTGTGTCTGGTCTTTTAGCTATGACGTTCATCTTCCTTGTTTATTCTCTAGGACAGAGGAGGAGGCAGATCGGCTAGACACAGCAGAAGCATTAGAGAATGTGGGCCAAGGTCATTCCCTGGGTAAATGGATCTGGGTAAGCTCCCTCTCAGGGCTGAGCCATGGGTGGGAAGCGGCTGCCTCTTAATATCCATGAGTGACATATCAGGAAATACATACATGAACATGTATACACATGTGTGTCCAAGGTCACACAGCTGAGAAGTGGCTGGGCTAGGACTGAGACCTTCCCAAACTGAAGTCTGTGTGAAGGGTGACCTTTTGGGGGGTGCAGTGTACAGCCTGTACTACTATGTCAGCATGGCTCAGTGGCAAGAGAGAAGAGCCTGGAAAAAAGAGCTGCCATAGATATATCTGGGTTTCAGACCCATATTTTCCACTCCCTAGTTGTGTGATCTTGGGCAAGTCACCTCACATCTTTGGGGCTTAACTTCATCTGTAAAATGGGGATGGTATATGCCTTCCTTAGAGAGTCCTCGGGTAATTAAATGGAATATTACGTGTAAAGATGCTCAGCATCACATCTGCACATAGTAAATTGTTCCTACATGTGTGATTTTGGAAAAGTTACTCGATTTCTTAGTACCTTAGTTCAATGGCCTATGAAAGAATGGATCAGTAGTAGTACTGGTCTCATAGAGTTTTCATGCCAAGGCATCTAACAGGAACTGAGCAAATGATCTCTATCATCCTAATTTTAGTAATCATGGCACCCTCACCCTAGTGAGGTCACTGCTGTCACATCTTGAGGGAAGCAAGGGGATGGAGAAGGGAGGGGACAGAAACAAAAAGTGGCTGCACTTGCAAAAATGGCATCTAGTCCAGAGAAAATCCAGTGACAGAGGTCTCTGCTGTATCCTCTAGGTGGGAGGCACCACTCTCCTACCTGGCACCCAGGTCGCCTGTGTTCAACATGAGGATACGACGCATGGCTTGTGTCTGATACACCACAGGTCCAAAGGTAAGATGCTCTTGATCCAGGGAGATCTCCAGGGCCTGGCAGCAGCCACTGAGGAGGAAGAGGGGGCGCAGAAGTCCCATGCATTCCATGAATACTTCCTCAGAGAAGGGGGGGATACGTTTCTTCGGGGCAAAGATGACTTCCAGTTTACAGACTTCTTTGGGCTTCAGTGTGATGTTTTGGAAGGGTGTCAGGGTGATGACCTGTATGAAAAGACACTGGACTTAGCAGCTGAGGGTGGGAAGCTCCTGAAGCCTCGATTCTCTGAGGTCTTGCTGCTGGGACTGGAATGGGTCAGATCTCATTTCTGCTCTCTTAGTAGCTGTGTAAGCTTGGCAAGTTACTTAAACTTCCTGTGACTTACTCTGTGGTGAAGATGAGGAGAATCTATATAAAATGTGTGGCACATAATAAACATTCAATAAATGTCAATTCCCTTTCCTAACTCATTTGGATATTTCATTCTTTCTTCCTTCTCCTTGGTAGAGGAAATAGCAACAGATTTGGCTATACCAAATCTCCTAGAATAGAAAATATTCAGAGTTCTGTTGTTTCTCAAAGAGTGTCCCCTGCATCAAATTTCTCTGTGTGATCGTTAAAATACAGATTTTTGGGTCCTGCTGCAGGCCTGGAACCTGCATTTTCAAAAGTTCCCTAGGTGACTCATGTATTCTTTTTTTTTTTTTTTTTTTGAGTTGGAGTCTCACTCTGTCACCCAGACTGGAGTGCAATGGCTGCTCCCGGTCACCACAGTCTCGAACTGCTGGACTCCGGCGATACTTCTGCCTCAGCCTTCCAAGTAGCTGGAACCACAGGTGCGTGCTACCACACCTGGCTAATTTTTGATTTATTGTAGAGATGAGGTCTCGTCAAGTTGCCCAGGCAGGTCTCGAACCTGTGGGCTTAGGCAATCCACTCACCTCGGCCTCCCAAAGTGCTGGGATTACAGGCTGGGCCACTGAGCCCGGCCGTGACTCATGTATTCTAAAGTTGAGAACCACTGCACAGATTTGTATGACTTTCTTTTTCCCTTTAGTTCTGGCAAAGATCATATCCAAATCAGCTTTAAGGAAAACAACTCCCTTTTCATCCTTGAGTTCCCCTTGGTACAGTGTACTGAGCAGTCACCAACAAGTGGACCATGGCAAAAGGGAGTGTGATAATGGGCTGAGGAGCTGCAATAAGGAAGTAATCTTGGAATTTTTTCAAATATGATGATGTCAGAAACCAGCCTAGGGTGCAGGTACCAGCACAGGGTACTCCTGGAAGCTTTAGTCTGACTACCTCTTTAGAGTAAGATTTGGTATGGCAAACTGTTAGGGTTCCTGACACGCTGGAACCAAGGACTTTAATTTGGAATAGTGAGGAAAGGGAAGCAACAAGTCTTCTCTCCTTGTCTGGATGGAAAGTTGGGCAGCATGGGGCCCTGGAATGAGATGTTCATTGGGTCCCTTGCCTTGGTAGGCCTCTCACAGCCAATTTTTCTGTCCCCTGAGATGCCCAAATGGTCCACAGTGCTCCTTTCACACTGAATCCCATCTAGTTTTCCAAAAGCACCAACCTTTTTGAGCATGTATACCTTTGTCCACTGGGAATGCCTGTCTGCCTAGAGACACCTCTTTACCCCATGAAATTCAGCACAGGGCCCTCTCTATTGTGAGGCATTCTTTAACCACCAAGCCCTCCTCTGAGCAGCTTGCTGTCAACTCACATCCTGTGTCTGCAGTTTCTATGTCTTTCTGGGATTGTTTATGTGTCTGTGATCCCCAAAGACTGTGAATGCCACCAAATCAAGGTCTATGTCATATTCACCTTTATATTTCCAGCATCTAGCATGTTTATTGAGTAAATATAAGAATGAACTGCATGAAGAATGAACTGCATTGAGTAAATATAAGAATGAACTGCATGAAGAAGGAAATGGATGCAGTCTACCCTTGGAATAAAATGCATTTGGTCTATTTTCAAGGGCCACCCAAATACTGATGTCTGTAAGATGAGTAGCTGGCAGCCAGGACTGGGAGCTTCTGTGTCCAGGGAACTTGAGGAAGTGGACTTAGCAATGAGCATGTTTTTCTCTCATTGCTGGTAGGCATGTAAAGTGGGACAACGCTTTCAGGGGGAGACTGGTCATGTGCATTGAAACATACTTTCCCTTTTGACCCAACAAGCCCACTTCTAGGAATGTATCTTAAGCATAGAGTCACAGATGCACAAAAATGTTTAGCTCTAGGGAAATTACAATGTTGTTTATCACACAAAATTTAGAAATACCTAAATTGAACATAAATAGAGAACTGGCCCATTCACATGATGGATGTGTAAATAAACAAATGACATTGGATAAAAATGAAATGAAAATGATAAAACATTATCCCCATACTGTTTTTGGGAAAATGACCAGAGATAGTAGATAGAAAGCTCTTAGAATGGCCTGACATGTTATAGGTGCATAAGAAATGTGCACTGCAGTGATGCTAGCATGGTCATCATTTCATCCTTATTATCAGGAAGCACAAAGAGGCCACTAGGAGTCCCCCAGTCACCAACCTTGGGCTCCTGGAGTTCTGGAACTGAGAACAGAACGGACTGGCTAAATGTGAGCTGGGTGAGGCTGCTGTTCATGATGGAAACTGTTTTTTTCACAACCTGTCCTGGAAGGGTGGCTCCTAACTTCACAATCCTATTGGCTGGATCTAGGACTGAAATCTGTGGGACAAGAAAGGGAATAGAAGGAAGCATTCGTTAGTTAACAGGAAAAGTAAACATTATGATACATCTACTCTGGTGAGGCAAGGGTTTCAGTGGCCTAACTTCTTCATATGGGATGGACATTCACCTACTCTACAAATATTTATGTGCATAAAATGCCCACTAAACTGCTCATCGCACAATTACATAATGAGTGGGTTAAAAGATCAAGTCACCTCGAGAGCACATTCCAGGAGGCTAAAACTAGACTGGGGCACTTAAGGAGACATTTCTGAAGATGGCATGAAGCTGAAGAAGGGTATGATCCAGTTAGTTTTAGTTAGGGTAGATGTGGCATGGAGGAACATGCTAAAAGCAGAAGACAACCAGTGGCCAAGCCCTGAGTCAAAGGGAGTGGTCCAGTCAAGGACTGTGGCTGGGAGCTAGGACCAGAGAAGATGAGTTTAGAGAGGTGGTCAGGTCTTATGAGGTCAGGTCTTACAAGGTCTTGTTGAACAGACAGGGGGCAATTTGAGCTATATTCAAGGAGAAATGGGAAGTCAGTGAAGGATAAAATGTGTTCCTGGGAGTGCTCTGGCTTGCTCCTCTGTGGAGAATGAACTAGAAGAGGGCAAGAGAGAAAGCATGAGGAGTGAGAAATGATGGTGGTCTGAACTGGAATGGTGGCAGCAGAGGAAAAGAGAAGTAGATATGCTTGCAAGTGCTCAGCTAAGGTGCTGATCAAAATGGTAGCCCGAATTAGGTAAAGGCCAGGCTGAGCTTTGCATTCCAGGACGGTACTGACCTACAATGAGCAGCACTCACCTGGTTGGATCACTAAACAGCACCTTTCCCCACAACAATCTTTAAATCTATCCCACATGTTTCCATTTTGCTTAAAAAGGCAAGAGAGTCTCCCCTACCAGCCATGAGCTCTTGGAGGCCCAAGAGCAAGTTTAAGTCACTGCTGGATCTACCCAAAGTACCCAACACACAAGGGGCACTGAATGAAAGAATGAATAAGCAAATGAATGAATCAATAACATCAGAAGAGACCCTGTCTCTGGCACACCAGTTGACAATGTCCTGTTGCTCCCATGGCTTAATGGGAAGGCTGCCAGGAATACACTCCTCTCATTTTCCCTTGGTTGCTGAAATACTCCATGTATTCTTGAGAGTCTTGGAAAGTTTTAAATCTTCCAAACCCTTCTATTAAAATACAAATACTCCTACCATAAAATCACCTTAAATGTTTACCAGACACTAGGAAGAAAGAAGTGAGCAGAAGGATATGAGTAATCCCTTCCTACCAGACAGAGCTCTGTGTAGAAGGAATGCTCTCAACCAAATAAAATCTTGCCTAGAGAATGTTAATCAATGGAGAGTTAAGAAATAAAGTTCTATAACGGAGATGCCTGTGTGTGTACACTGCTTAACAATGTTATCTATTAGACCTGAAAAAAAATGGTCCTAATGCAGGAAGAAAAGGATATGCTTGGAGTACTGTATTGGATAGTCTTAAATTTCTCCAAGAAGTTTGTTTCTCTAGTGCCTGCGATTACCTGAATCTTTTGATGCAGTGAAGTTTGGTAGTGAATAAGATCTATAATTCCATGAGTCTGATCTGACAATTCACCCCTTTGTATTATTAGGCACATCCTCTCAGTGGGACTGACTGACCTCCCACAGAACAGTTTGGTGGCAGAGACATAGAGGGGGAGGAAGGATGTTTGGGATCAGGGGAGCAAAGGAGGCTGGGAAGGAGGGTACCAAGCTTGAGGGCTTCCAAATTGTCTCTTACCTTCATTTCAGTACCCTTCCCTTTGATTTCAACTATTTGCTGCGAGAGCCCATTGATTTCGAAGGGGATGAGTTCTCGATAGCTGATACTTTCTCGAGGATAAAAGATGATTGGAATTTCCAGTGTCTTTCCTGGCTTTACCTCATCAACGTGGAAGTTCACTTCAAGGTGGGTGGTGTTGGTGTACAGACAGTCTATGCTGGAGAAAATAAAGAGAAAGGTGTGTAAGCTCCGAGAAGGCTGGCCTGAGGTGTGGATGCTGTCCCCTTGTCTCTCTGAGCTGAGTGCTGGTGGATTTCCTGCCCTGCTGTCCTAGAGCCATGGAAGTCATCTGAGAGCCGCAAGGCAGTTCAACAAGAGTCCAGCCCACGCTCTCCTATGTACAGCCAAGTTACCCCAAATCACATCCTGAGATCCTAGCAGACCAGGGCCTCAAACTCAAAGGCTCATGGTACTTTACCCATTGATCTTTGTTCTAGTCATTCTCTATTTCTTGATAATGCATCTCATGGTTTTGTACCATGAAGGTTTTTTACCCTCTCATAAGAAGGAAGTGCTTCTAGAAGTAATTTGACAGCAAAACACAGTAGAGGGGAATATGTGTTCTGGAGTCAGACAGATAGGAGTTTGGATCCAGACTCTACTAACTAGCCATATGACCTTGGAAAAGTTACTTGGCCCATTTGGGTCTCTGTTTCCTTATCTGCAAAATGAGGGAGGTGATATCTATTTCATAGGGTTGTTGTGAGTATTAAGTGGGATAAAGTGACTAGAGCAGTCATTAAATATGGCACAGGGAAAATATTCCACAAAAGTGATCTTTTATTATTATTACTAATTGCTCAACTAGAAGGGATCTTTTTTTTTTTTTTTTTGAGTTGGAGTCTCACTCTGTCACCCAGACTGGAGTGCGG